TCCGGGGGCGGGGCTGCCCCCCCCGGCCTCCAGCCAAGCCAGTGACCGGCCGGTCCAGGTGAAGGTGAGGTCCCGAGAGGAGGACAAGGGGTGGTGGGCAGGCCGAGAGGTGGGCACAGGGGCTTCTGCGATTAGGCCTGGTCTTGGGACACTGGAGGGTAGCAGGGTACAGCGAGGCTTGGAAAAGAAGAAAGTCCAAGGGGTGCTCCGGGACCTGGGAGTGATGGAGAAAGTCTGTAGCCCCTTTGCTCACCCCTACACTGGGTTTGCGCCAAGAGCAGTGCCGGCAACTCTACATGGCGTGGGGCTCTCCCCAGCTCTCTAGGTTCTTCTGTCCTGAGCCACGCTAGTTTCTCTCCTTAGATCTGGAAAGACCCCCAAAATCCGAGAGTCCCCTTGGTGCTCCATCTCTCACCCCTCCACTCTCACGCTTTAACTCTGGAAGGGCCGCTCAAGTTCATTCATAAGAACAAGGGCTCTGCTCTTAAAGGAGCCGCATGCGGAAAGCGTTTGTGTGATAGGTTCACAGGCACAGCTTTCCGCGCGTCTCGACTCCCCGTCCCTCTCTCTCTCTCTTTCTCTCGCTCTCTGATCAGTCCTAGCTCTGTGCATCTATTTAACAACCCTATGAAACCATGCGGCCCCCAGGAAAGGGGTTGCTGACAATAGATCCTCTTGGGAGGTGCTTAACTTTTCCTTTTAATTTTATTAACTGATCTTGGAAGGAGCGAGTGAGCAATTATGCTGTTGCCATGTATGACTAATCTCTACTTTCCCCGGGCAACCTCAGCCACCCCTAGTGCTCCACCCGGAGAAGGCCGAGCCCTGCACCTGGAGCTCTTTCACCCCTCTCCAAGGTCCCCTAGGAGCTGGAAGGAGTTTGTGTCAGGGAGCTGGAAGGAGTTTGTGTCAGGGAGCTGGAAGGTAGGGCTGTTCAAGGGTTTGCCTGGAGCTGAAGATTGCCCATAGGGGCCCGGGAAGTTTGAGACAGATGGAAGGAACAGCTGTGGATGCAGTGGGCTAGGCTGGGGCCTCCCTGCAGCCTTGGTGCCTCACGAAGTAGGCAGGTGGATCCTGGCTCCTGCGGGGCGTCAGGGAGGGAGCCTGGGCTGGGCTCAGGCAGCCTTGGGCAGCAAGAGGATTTTCAGGTTGTGGCAGCTAGTGCGGGGCAGGAACCGGTCCACTGCTACAACATGCTCTCTCTGGGTAACTTGGAAAGGAGCAATGGCTGGGGGCCTGGGAGAAGATTTTTATATTTGTTTGTTTGGTTTTGTTTGTTTGAGACAGGGTTTCTCTGTGTAGTCCTGGCTGTCTAGGAACTCTCTTGAGGCTGGCTGGCCTCAAGCTCAGAGACCTGCCTGGCTCTGCCTCCCAAGGGCTGGGATTAAATGCATGTGACATCACACCTGGCCTGGGAGAAGATCTTTAAAGATGGAGGGTGATAGGTTTCCTCATTGTCTGGAGGAGGTAGGGGGATAAGTCTAAGTTTAAGGGCCAACTTCTTCTGGGGTAGGGTAAGTAGGATTTACCTAGGTGGGAATTGGGCAAGATGGGAGCTGTTCCTGCTGGCCCAATTGGCCTCTGGCACCTTCTAGGTTGCTACACCCAGGCTTTCCTTTTCTCCCCAGAAGGAACCAAAGAAGAAGCAGCAATTGTCCATTTGCAACAAGCTTTGTTATGCAGTTGGAGGGGCCCCATACCAGCTAACAGGCTGTGCCCTGGGGTTTTTTCTGCAGATCTATCTGCTGGATGTGGCTAAGGTGAGTGCCTGAGCGCCAAAGGCGTCTCCAGTATCCAGAGGTAGAAGCAGTAGGCTCCTTTTGGTGGGTTCACTCAGTTTTCCCTTATAGTAAAACAGGACCAGAACACATTCCTTGGCTGCCACTCAGGGTCACAGTGGATGAAAACTAAGGCTTTAGGAAATGTGGGTGTGTGTGTGGGGGTGTCTGTCTGCCCCAGGGACCATAGCTGGCGACTCTCCCTTGCCTGGCAGGAGCAATAGAGCCTGGAGGACTAAGCGGCTGTGAGGGAGAATGGGACCCATTGGTGACGCTGTTCTTAGAAGAGACTGGCACACCATGTCCCTGGCTGAAAGACAGTCAGCTGGCTTGGCTCAGGGTTTTAATGGATGTTGCCAGGCTCTTGGAAGAATTGTATCTCACCCTCACCTGAGAAGTGGCAGCTTGGTGGTGGGTAGGGAAACCTGAAGGTGTGGGCATCTTAGAATGCCCCATTACTTGGGGTCTCTGCTGGGGAGGGATAGTTTGGGTGAAGCAGGGCTACTGTGTGTATTTGAGAAGCCTTGGCCTGCAGCCTGGCATCCAAAGAATTCACTCTGTCTGGATGAGAAAGTGGGAGACTGAGTAACCATGGCTCCAGGGTGCCCTCTGTGTAGCATCGCTGGGCAAGTGAGGCATATTAGTTTCCATTTGCAGGTGTGGAACACTGAGCCCCAGAAAGGACAGAAGACTCATTCAGTAACTAGGTTTCAAATAGTTCCCATGGCTGGGTCTCTAGGGGGTTATAATTAAGAGGAACTTGCAGTTGAGCATAAAATGGGGTTAGAGTAAGTGGGGTGAGTGTAGGGTAGGGGAGAACAGTTCATGAAGGGCCACCAACTTTCCAGTGCAGGGTTTTGACAACTGGACAGGGCGGCACATGCCGGTTACCCCAGTACTTAGCAGGCTGAGACAGGAGGATTGAGATTTCAAAACCAGCCTGGGACCCTGTCTCAAAAACAAAGTAAATAAATAAATAAAAGTTTTATGGATGAGGTTGAAGCCAGAAAAATTTGTATTTAGAACCTAGAGTTTTTGGAGGTGACTGGCCACTTTCTAAAAAACATCTATGGAGCAGGCATAGTGGCACACATCTGTAACACCAGCACTGGCCAGTCAGGACTACAAATGAGACCTTGTCTGTCTGTCTGTCTCTCTCTCTCTCTCTCTCTCTCTCTCTCTCTCTCTCTCTCTCTCTCTCTCTCACACACACACACACACACACACACACACACACAGTGTCATGGTGGGGGAAGTTACTGGAGAGGTTGCTCACTGGTTAAGGGCTTATGATTTCTTCAGAACACCTGGGTCGTAAGTACCCATACCAGGCCACTCACAACCACAGCTGCCTACAACTCCAGCTCTAGGGGATCCAGTGCTCTTGGTCTCCTATATTCATTCAACACACTCCCTGCCCCACATAATCAATCACATAATTTAAAATAATAAAATGAATCCTAAAAAAAAAAAGATGATGAAAGAAAGCATCTATCCATTCTTCTTTCCATATCCAGGATAAAGCCTGACCTCATAAAACACACCACAACCCATAACTCTTACACAGATGGCAAAACTGAGGCTCATTGTGGTTGTCCAGGGAACAAATACTAGCTCTGTTATCAGGTGGTCAGGGGCTCAGAACTGTGAGATGGAAGGAAGGAAATGATTCTGTGTTCATTCTGTTTGGTGAGATGGTTTTAAGTGTAGCAGAGGGGAAGGAAAGAACCAGGAAAGCTTTGGACAGTCTTACTCTGATAACACAGTTATCAGAGAAATGCTTTTGTCGTCATCATCATCATCATCATTGGTTTTTCGAGACAGGGTTTCTCTGTATTGCTTTGGAGGTTGTCCTGGAACTCGCTCTGTAGACCAGGCTGGCCTCAAACTCACTGAGATCCACCTGCCTCTGCCTCCCGAGTTCTGGAATTAAAGGCATGCAACACCACTGCCCAGCTACTGTTGTCATTATTGTTTTTCACACTGTGAGGGAATTGAACCCAACACCTCATCCATTCCAGGCAAGCAATCATCCATTGTAGGCAAGCAGTCATCTACTCCAGGCAAGCAATCATCCATTCCAGGCAAGCAATCATGCTACCATTGAGCTAACCCCCTGGATCTGCTATTGTCATTCTTAAGAAAGTGAGTGAAACTGGGTGGTGGTGGCCCACACCTTTGATCCAGCACTCGGGAGGCAGAGGCAGGTGGATCTGAGTTTAAGGCCAGCCTGATCTACAGAGTGAGTTCCAGGACCGCCAGGGATACACAAGAGAAACCCTGTCTCAAAAATGAGAAAAGTGAGTGGAAACACTAAAGACCCAGGTGGGAGCCGGTCATGGTGGCCTGGCTGCAGCAGTGAGGGAAGCCCCTCTAAGGTGAACCAAAGGTTGAAGGATGTCTTCTTCGGCCTCTTCCCCATGGCAGGTGGAACCACTCCCTGCTTCCATTATCCTTTTTGTGGGCCGAGCCTGGGATGCCTTCACTGACCCTCTGGTGGGCTTCTGCATCAGCAAGTCCTCCTGGACCCGCCTGGGCCGCCTCATGCCCTGGTAAGTAGAGAGGCACTCCTTAGACATGCTGAGGGCCAGGCTTCTGTTGCATCTTTCCCTCTGTCCTTCTAGCTCTTGTCGAAGGCTGGGGCTTGAGGGCAAAGGGTGACACAAAAGCTCAAAGGTGTTGGAAACCAAGCTGAGGTCTTACCTGCCCCAGACATGGGCACTGGGACACCTAGCCAGTTCATTTCTGGGCTGGCCAAAGTGTGGAGTTAGTTACCCTCCCTCAGCTCAGGCCTCAGTGTTCCCCAAGTTCCATCCACTCTGGTGAAGCTGAAATCCTCATTTCTCCCATTGGTCACTTCTGTAGTGGCAGAAGTTGGTCTTCAGAAGAGTTCAGAGGTTGCCTGAGTTTGAATGGCAGTTTCACTATTTACAGATGTGCTGTCTTGAGCAAGTTACTTAACAGCTCTGAACCTTAGGTAAAATGGAAGTATGATGAGGATTTTAATATGTAAACCACTCAGAATAGTGCCTGGCAGGTATTGATACCCAATTTGACATTCCTTCAAGGTGGTTAATGGTAGGCCACAGGTAGGGACGATGCTGAGAATAGAATTGCAGACCCATCATTTCCAATGCCTTGAGTGAAGGGACTATTTCTTCTCTTGGTGCTGTTCAGCCTCAGCCGGTGGGGCAAGGTTGGGGGAGGCAGTTGCCATAGATCAGACAGTGATGGAGACACACACACAGGCCAAGCCGGGGCTCTGGTTCCCTCCAGGACATCCTGCTTCAGGGGGTGGGGGAGTGTACCCCTTTCATCTCCAGCCCATCCAAGCTTAAGTGGGCGCCTTCCTGCCCCAGGGGCGCCCATACCTGGTCTCCGGCCTTCAAAGATCTTCCAGCAGCCTCTGCACCTCCACAGTTTCCTTTCCCACGAGGCCCCCCACCCACCCCAATCCTGCCAGCCCCTGGCAAAAGCCCAGCTTGGAGCCTTTGATCCAGGCTTCATGGCCAAGGGGATGGAGGGGAGGGCAGAAGAGCCTTCTTTACCTGGGCAAGCTACTCAGGGAGTCCCGCCAGCCTGTGAGACTTGGCCGGGTGCCGGCCTCCTGGCAGCTGGTGGAGGGCGGGGCCCTGCTCCCACATCGCCTCATGAGGCCCAGCCAATAGGAGGCCACTGTCTGCTGCGCTGCGGCACGGGGTTACTCCCAGTCACATCGGGTTCCTGGGCCAGCATCGCTGTTCAGCTGCCCGCCTAAGAGGATGGAGTGTTTGAGGAAGGCTGAGGAGGAGCCCTGTTTTCTGAGGAGACAACGTGGAGGGGTGGAAGGAGAAGGAGAGCCAGCAAGGCCTCCCTGTGGGAGGGAGATCTGAGGACTTTTACTTATCAGTATGACAGTTACTCCATGGAAGTTGCTGGGGACCCCTTAGGCTGCATTCTGGGTGGCAAGTGCCTGGGTATGTGTCAGAATACACATGCGATGGCTCATAGGCTGAGGGGCCCTTGTATTCATCCCAGGTTGCATCTCCTCAGGTCCAGACACCATAGAGAGGCTGGATCTGTCCGGGTTGTTTAGTGTTAGCCCTAGCCAGGGCAGTTCCTACTCCAAGCCCCTACTACAAACTACAAGGGTGCTGACTTTGTTTCCCAGGACTTCTAAGGCCATCTGTGAGACCCAGTCATCAGGGACACGCAGGAGAGGCTGAGATGCAGCAGGCTGCCCCTGAGGTTGATTACCAGTAATTGTCCACTCGTGGTCCTGGCCTGTAGTGGTTCCCGAAGGCCACTTCTCCTGTTGAACCCTCCTGATATGATCACAGCAAACACTTAATGTCCCAAGTACTGTTCAACATTTTTTCTGTCAACTTACTTAAGATTGGAGTCTACTTCACCCCACAGAGTAGAAGTCCTTCTACTTGCCTGTGAGGTGTCCCATTTTCTCCACGTTATCTCCTAATTCCATCTCCCTTGCTCACTGCGCTCCAGCCCATGGGCCCTGCCTGCTGTTCCATACTCTGGCCTAAGGACCTTTGCACTGACTGTCCCCTGCCTGGGCCCACAGTTGCCTCAGAGGTCTGTAATGCAGGCTCCCTGACCACATCCACACCTTCTCAGTTACTGCCCGCTCAGCCAGTTGTGACTGCAACCTCAGTGTGGTGTCTACTTACCTTGCTTTGGCTTTAGCCTAATGTAGCCTGTTTTCTTTTCTTCATAGCATTTGCCACCTTTTAATCGGTTATATAACTATATAAAGACCATGACAATATATATAATATATATACATATATATGTATGTATATAAAGTTTACCTTATTTATGGACTTATTTCTGAATTCAAACACAGGACCTTGCACATGCCAGGCAATTTATTGTTCTATAGCCTTGATCTTTGCTTGGTTTTGTTCTTTGAAGACTAGGTTTCCTGAAGCCCAGGCTGGCCTCCAACTCCTGATTCTCCACCTCCTAAATGCTCAGATTATAGTCATGTACCAACACCTCCAGCTCAACCCTTCCTTGTTTGTTTTGTTTTTGAGACAGGGTCTCATTATGTAGCCCAGGCTGCCCTGCAACTTGTTATGTAGACCAGGTTGCCCTCAAGCACACAGAAATCTACCTGCTTCTACCTCTTGAGAGCAGAGCCAGGGATTCCCTGAATTTGAGGCTAGCCTGGTCTACATGGTTACACAGAGAGACCCTGTCTCAAAAAACGAAAGCAAAATCAAACACACACACACACACACACATATATATATATATATATATTTATATATATATATATCAGACACACACATATACATATATATATATATCAGACACACACATATACATATATATATATCAGACACACACACACACACACACACACACATATATATATATATATAAGTGTGTGAATGTTTTGCTTGCATGTACACCTGTGCCTGGTACCTAAGGGCAAAAGAGGATGTTGGATCTCTTGAAAACTGGAGTTAGAAAGGGTATGAGGTACTGAAAATTAACCTAGGTCTTAAGTGCTGAGCCCTCCCTCCAGCCCCCATGCCCTTCATTTAAAAAAAAAAAAGCAAAAACAAAAACAGATCTCACTATGTAGCCCAGGTTGACTTTGAATTCACGGGGTTTTTTTTTTTGTTTTGTTTTTTTGTTTTTTTGTTTTTTTGCCTCTGTCTCTTGAATGTGGGGACTACAGTCCTGTGCCACCATGCCCAGCTCAATGTAACCTTTTTTTTTTTTTCTTTCTTCGAGACGAGGTCTCTCTGTGCAGCTCTAGATATCCTAGAACTCGCTCTGTAGACCAGGCTGGCCTCAAACTCACAGAGATCTGCCAGCCTCTGCCTCCCAAATGCTGGGATTCAAGGCACACACCACCACTGCCTAGTGCATTCCAATACTTTTTCATCTTTCAAACCAAAATTTTGAGTTTATCAAGAGATAATTCCTACTCCTCCCCCCCCCACGCCCCATTAACCACTTCCTTTGTTGTTGTTGTTGTTCAAGGGTGAAATATTGTGGGGTATATGTGTAGGTCAGGGGACAACTTTCAGGAGTTCATTCTTTCTGCCATATGGGTTCGGTGAATTTGAACTCAGGTCATCAGGCATAGTAAGTGCCCTTAGCAGCTAACATATCTTGCAGAGTGAATATGAAACTAGATTTGGAGACCCACCCCCACTCCCATAAGTTAAACTGTACAATACTTGTCTTTTTAGAGACAGTCCTATTTCATATGGCCGTTCCTCAAGGTTCTGTGTTGTAGCGTGTGTCAAGATTCTCATTTTTAGGGCTGAATAACATGTGATTTATGTTGTTTACCAACTAGAGTGTGAGTTCTGCGAGAGCAATGGTGTCTTTTTCCTCATGGATACATCTTCAACAGTCAGAATAGTTCTAGCATATTTTTGAGCTTCATAAATATTTGGGTAAATGTTGAATGTAGGCAGTGTACTTTTTCTTATTTCCATTTTATAAGTGTGAAGCCGAGTCTCAGAGAAGTTAAATAACTTGCCCAAGACTAAGTTTTTATCGTGACAGACTCAGAATTGGGTCCCAGAAGCGTATGTACCTCGGCCTTCCTCTTTAAAAAAAAAAAAAAAATTATTGTGCTTGTGTGTGAGCGTGTGCGCATACATGTGCGCATGCCACAGTGCATGTGGCAACTTGTGGGAGTTGGTGCGTGTTCCAGGGGAAAATATCAGGTTGTTAGGCCTAGCAGCAAGCGCTTTTACCCTTGGAGCCATATTGCTGGCCCGAGGCTTCCTCCTTTTAGCCTTTGTACTCAGCGTCATATGCTAATGCTGTGAAGTTGATCCATCCTGAGGAATAGCCTCTCATGGTAGGTTGGACTTGCATGTGGACCGGATTTTGCCCCCCACCCTCCTTCGAGTTCTGTGACTGGGCCCATTCCTCTTCCGTGGCCCCTCTCTCCTCCACCTGAAGTTGGCCTCTCCCACCCACCCTAGCTTCCCAGTGTGTGTACAGGTGAAGAACGGAGGGTACAGGGCAGATGCTGGGACCTCACTCTTCACTGGGACTCCTGCTCCAGGAAAGATATGCATGAGACTTGGAATCTGACTTCATGCTCCCTGCTCTCTGACCCCTTCATGCTCCTTGCTCAAGACTTTGGTCCAGGAGCTTGCCCGCAGTCTGTCCTTCAGGCATGGCCATCAGTCTTTCCCCCTGAGGCTGTGGGTTAGGAGGGTTCAGAGTAGAAACTTCCTTCTCCATTGATTGTCACCTGTGGGACAGATTTGGGCTCTTAGAATTCTCTGGCCTCCACTCAGACCCTTCTCTTCCTTAGGATCATCTTCTCCACTCCCCTGGCCATCATCGCCTACTTCCTCATCTGGTTCGTGCCTGACTTCCCACCAGGGATGGGAAGGTCACATGGGTTCCTTTGGTACCTGCTTTTCTACTGCCTCTTTGAGACACTCGTTACGGTGAGTGTAGGCTCCTCCACTTGGTACTCTGGCAAGGGGCAGGGTCAAGGGTGATTCCCTGGGGCCTCTGCAGGTCTCTCCATCCATCTAACTGACCGATTGCTTCTCTTCCACAATAGTGCTTCCACGTTCCCTACTCAGCACTCACCATGTTCATCAGCACAGAGCAAAGTGAGCGAGACTCTGCCACTGCCTATAGTAAGTATAGTAAGTCCCTCCCCCATCAGCTCAGCCCTGCCCACAGGGGGCCCTGGACCTCTCCTCTCCTAGCCCCCCTCCCACACCTTGTATTTTGTGGGCCTAGCTCTTTGCTCTACTCTTTAATGTGCGTGCGTGCGTGCGTGCGTGCGTGCGTGCGTGCGTGCGTGCGTGCGTGCGTGCGTGCTCCCTCTGTCCCTGTCTCTTGTGACGCTGGGGATTGACCCCAGAGCCTTGTGTCTGCTAAGCACTTAACCATTGAATTATATCCCCATCCATGAAAGCATGTTAAAAAATAACTCAACCTCTTTATTGCTCAAATGGGACCCCGCAGGGTAGGGGGACTGAGCTGAAGGTTTCGTAAAGAAAGACCATGAATGTAGGTTGAAATGTCATCACCCTGCCCCTGAGCCCACTTACCTGGAGCCAAGATTGATTCCCATCTGACCTTCCTCCCCAGGCCTATGGGCCATGAGTCACATCCAAAAAGACCCTTTCCCTGCCTAGGGATGACCGTGGAAGTGCTGGGTACAGTGATAGGCACAGCAATCCAAGGACAAATTGTGGGCCAAGCCAATGCACCTTGTTTCCAGGACCAGAATGGCTCTGCAATTGTCAATCGTACACAGAGCACCACCTCCCTCAAAGAAACGGTGAGGCACCTGGTGGGGCAGGGATTTGCAGGGAGTGCAAATGGGGTGCTTTGCAGTTATCCTAAAAGTAGTAATAGCAGCTAGTGTTTATTAATTAGTGGGCATCTGGTAAATGTAAATATTTGTATGTACATATACCTACTTTATAGACACGGAAAGTGAAGCCTGGGAGGCTGAGTAACTTGCCTAGGGTCCCAGCAAGTTGCAGAGATGGGGGAAGACTTGGGCTGTGGGCTCACATACTACGTAGTCTGGCCGTATAACGTTTTGTATACTTGGACTTAGCCCAGCCTTGGGAAGCAACAGCAGGTCCAGGATGACCCTCCTGGTTCACAGATGGAGACAGTGAGGCCCCCACAGGAGAAAGGCCTGGCCTGAGATCGTGGAGTGGGGCTGCTGGGCTGAGATCAGACTGACCCTGTCTCTGTATGTCATAGCAAAATGCATACCTGCTGGCAGCAGGGATCATTGCCTCCATCTACGTCATCTGCGCCATCATTCTGGCTCTAGGCGTGCGGGAGCAGAGAGGTGAGAAGTGTGCTGGGGGGGGGGTTCAGCCCGTAGCCCAGGGGAGCAGTGGTCCCCTTCTGCCTGGTCCTCAGGCTTTGGGACGGACTTCTGTTCCCTCTTCATCATCCTTTCTGATCCCTAGAGTCCTATGAGGCCCAGCAGGCCGAGTCGATGCCCTTCTTTCAGGGCCTCCGGCTGGTCATGAGTCATGGCCCCTATGTCAAGCTCATCGCAGGCTTCCTTTTCACCTCCCTGGCTTTCATGGTGAGTGGGGCCTGAGAGGCTCATCCTGAGAGTAGGTATAATAGGAGTGGGGCAAGTAGAGGTCTCTGTAATCCCCAAGTCACCTTCTCCCCTTCATTTCCTTGTCCTGCCCTGTCTCTCAGCTGGTGGAGGGCAACTTTGCCTTGTTCTGTACCTATACCTTGGGCTTCCGAAACGAGTTCCAGAACCTCCTCCTGGCCATCATGGTGAGTACGGGGCATATGGTTGGCTGATGAATGGGTCTTTGGACTGTCAGAGGATACCTTCAGGCTGGTCCTTAGTCATGATGGGATGAGGGAGGTTTCCCTGGACCTCACCTACAAAATCACTTAGGGAGGGATATAAGAGGAGAATTTGAGGGTGGCCTGGTACAACAAAAGCAAGGATGCCAACAACTTTGGGCAGCTTTACATTCGAGGATGGTTTGCTCTCAGCTTCCCTGGGAAGCCATCAGACATGCCTGTCAACTTCTTCGCTGCTGGTGGCTGACCTGGGAGCATCCCTGGGAGCCTGGGAAGGGCAAGAAAGTTCATTGCTGCAGTCACCCACCTGATTTACCTTTTCTGTCACTCACAGCTCTCGGCCACATTTACCATCCCCATCTGGCAGTGGTTCCTAACCCGATTTGGCAAGAAAACAGCTGTCTATGTTGGGATCTCAGTGAGTGGGGCTTAAGGGGTAGAGTTTGGGTTGTACTGGTTATGTGTGGTGGGGTTACAGATGAGGACCTCCTAGGTGACGCATCTTCCTCATTCTCTGTTCTAGTCAGCAGTTCCTTTTCTCATCTTGGTGGCCCTCATGAAGAGTAATCTAATCGTCACTTACGTGGTGGCCATAGCCGCTGGTGTCAGTGTAGCTGCTGCTTTCTTACTACCCTGGTAGGTATATATGGAGTCACTGAGTTTATTCCCCAGCCAACACCCTCCATCCAGGGCCTGTGCTCTGGTGGCTCCTTTCCTGTCTTTCTACAGACAGGAAATAATAAGACAGGCAGAATAAGAGTCTGGGATGAGGTGGGTCTGCAAGTTCCCGGAAGGCAGTTCCTTCTCACAGACACAGATACCATATGGGCTGGTGGCTAGGTAAGGGTAACTCATGGCTACCACTACCCACTCCGCATAGGTCCATGCTGCCTGATGTCATTGATGACTTCCACCTGAAGCACCCTAACTCCCCTGGCACCGAGCCCATCTTCTTTTCCTTCTATGTTTTCTTCACCAAGTTTGCCTCTGGAGTGTCACTGGGTGTCTCTACCCTCAGTCTTGAGTGAGTAGCCTGTGAGTCTTGGGCAAGGCTAGGGACAAGGGCAGGGTCCAAGCACTCCATCCTCACCACTACTTGCCCACTGGGTCCCACAGCTTTGCCGAGTACCAGACACAGGGGTGCTCCCAGCCAGAACAGGTCAAGTTTACACTGAAGATGCTGGTGACCATGGCTCCCATCATCCTCATTCTACTGGGCTTGCTACTCTTCAAGCTGTATCCCATCGATGAAGAGAAGCGACGGCAGAATAAGAAAGCTCTGCAGGCTCTACGGTAAGAGTGGGGGGAAGGGGTGTGTGTGAGTGTGTGTGCGTGTGTGCGTGTGTGTGTGTGTGTGTGTGTGTGTGTGTGTGTGTGTGTGCCATTGGTGCCACTGGTGAACACATCCAGACAATTCTTAGCTATGCGCTAGGTATCACACTGACTGCCTTTGTATGTATTTACTTAACAAGCAACAAACACTTTCTGAGTGCCAGCATTGTGGCAGGAAAAACAAAAACAAAATAAAACAAACAAACAAATGACAAACAGAAAATGGCCAGGTCTGGTGACACATGCCTTTAATTCCAGAACTCTAGGAGGCAGAGGCAGGTGTATCTTTGTGAATTTGAGGACAGCCTGGTCTACGTAGTGAGTTCCAGGACAGAACTATGTAGAGAGATCCTATCTCTAAAACCAACCCAAACTCCCTGTTCTGAAGCAGTTTGTATTTAGAAGTTTGCTTCCAGGACACCCCCACCCCCTACCCCAGCCTTCTAAAAAAATCCATCCTAGGCAGATGAGGTGTTTTGTTTTGTATTTTTTTGAGACAGGGTCTCATTTAGCTCAGGCTGGTATCAAACTAGTTGTGTAGCCAAGGCTAACCTGGCTCTCCTCCTAAGTGCTGGGATGACAGCCACTCCCATGGCAAGATTCTTATGATTCCTAGCCTGCAGATGAAGAAAATTGAAGTTTAGCCAGGAGATGTGGATAAGGCTTTGAGCCCTGCCCTGTGCTCTAGCTGCAACCTGTACTCTGATGCTCTCCTGGCACACAGGCCCGCTGTCGTGGCCAGAAATGATAGGGCAGGGTGGAATGACTCATGGCACCTTGTCAGCCCGCCAGAGCCAGTGGCTCTCTGAGGTTCAGCAGGAACAGCAACCAGCAGTTTCTGGCCCGACAGTGGGAGTGACTGGCCCTGTGGTGTAGACAAGACTGACAGCTGGCTTGGACTCCAGGGCCAAGATTGCTAAGGCAGGTGGCAGGAGAGGAGGGTAAAGCTGTTTCCTCTAACCTATCTTTTCTGTTGCAGAGACGAAGCCAGCAGCTCAGGTTGCTCTGACACAGACTCCACAGAGCTGGCCAGCATTCTCTAGGACCTGCCATGTTACCTACATCCACCACACAAAGCACCTGGAGCACCAGGTAGCATGTGGCACGGGATCTTTTTGTCCTCGCACTGAACAGCTGTTCTTCCTGTGTCAAGACAGGAACCAAGGACTGGATGGAGGGTGAGCGGCCCAGGACATCTGTGCCCACTGAAGGGCTGGCCGCTCTGTAGCCTCCTCACTGCCTGCCCACAGGGCCAAGCCCTAGGGCTGCTACTGTGAATATGCCAAGGACTGACTGGGCCTAGCTCAGAACACTAATGTAGAAACGTTTTATACAGAGACTAATTAATAACTTAATGACTATGTATATAGTGACGGGTGTGTATGTATATGTCTGTGAGCTATTAATGTTATTAATTTTCATAAAAACTGGAGAACAAGGCTGCCTCCTTTCCATCTATGTTCTTAGCCATCCATGAAGCCCTTTGGTGAGGTCCAGATAGTCAATAGGCTCACAAAGCCACAGGTGCCTGTGAGTGGGACAGTGCGCCTGAGGACATGATAGCTGCCTTGCCTGACATTTACTCTGTACCAAGTGCCTTATGCTGGCTTGGCACACCGTTCATGGTGATCTCATCGAACCTGTGGAACCCTTGTGTCATGGCAGGACTGCCCCTGTCTTAAAGAAAAAATATGAAAACCCAAGCTCTAGCATTAAAAGGGATGTGGTAAAGTCACATGGCAAAGAATGATGTAAGTGGAGCTTCACCTCATCTCTGTGAGTCTTAGTACTTTAACCACTGCTCCCCGTGTCCCCATGTGAGAAAGACTAAGGAAACAGCAGGCCACTGTTTTCTGTCCATCACCATGTGTATAATAACTGAGTCCGTGGGGCTAGGTGTTCTGGTTGGGGGTCTGTATTGTCCCTGGAGACTTATCCCATAACTGTTGTCAGTAATGTTGAAGGTGGAGACTGTATGTGTCTAGTTGTGGTGTCCGGTAGTGGTGAGTCTATGATGTTTCATTCCTGCAGTGTAAACATTCCCACTGCAGCCAATTCAAGTTACTCTTGCTTGTACCATCTTATAAATTCCTGAGAACTTAATAGTTGGCTCTTATACGTTTGCAAGGGTCACCGTACCATACCACTGGGTTGCATACACCCAAGTCAAGCTCCAAACACACAGGAAGTAAAATTGGCAGGGCCTTCAGGAAGTGAACTAGTCCAGCCTCCTTCTTTTATACCCAGATAAATGAGACCCTGAGAGAAGTGTTGGAACCATTTGGGATTGCTTTGCCCTTGAATTCAGATAAACTTCTGGTAATTTTCATAGTGTTTCAAACAGGCACTGTTATACATATTCATACATACTAATTTATTTAGTCATGGGTTCCCTACAAGGAAGGTGCTGTTATTATTCTGGCTTTACAGATAAGGAAACCAAGGCATGGAAAAGCTAAGTGACTTGTCAAAGGTCATTAGTAAGTGGGTAGGTTGATTTAAGTCCAAGCTGTTTGGCTGTAGGCCCTACATCTTTCACCACTTTAATGACTGGCTTGATCCTACTAGGCCAATCCCATGGCCTTTATAACTGCCATTTTTAGTCAGAGGCTGCCTGACAAGAAAAGAGCCACAGGGGCCTAGGTTGGTCCCTGCATCTGAGTCCTCAGGGATTTTTTTCCCCCTCCCCCTGCTCAGGGATTTTTATAATGTTTACACAGGCCCACTCCTGTCTTTCCTTTCCTCAGTTCTAACCAGCAGACATCAAGGCTGGTCTTTATTTTCTATTTTTGTTTTATTTTTTTGGCACCCTTGAGGATCAAATCCCGGACTTTGCTCAGGCTAAGCAGATGCTCTGACTCTGAACCACACCCACAGCCCAAGTCTTATCTTTCAAACAACACTAATAACAATAATAGCAATGGCAATTATATTATTACTTGGGGCTGTGCATATAGTTCGGTAGTAGAGTGTTTATCTGCCATGTATGAGGCACTGTGTTCAATCCCCACTGATGTAAAACAAAAACCACAAAAATTAAATCTTTAAGTTTGCTCCTTTTCTATTGCTGCAATTATTTCGGAGATCTTGTGTCACCTAGGTCTTCATGCAGATGATCCCTGGGGATCTCTACAGCCCTGCGACCGCCCAGCCTGAGATCTGGTGCAGTCCTTTCTTTAGCCCTCCCTCCATCCAAGATAATCTCCTGCTTCAGCTCTCCTACCTGCCAGTGTTCACCCAACAGGTCTTGGTTCCAGCAAGCCTCTGTGAGGCAGTTCTGGAGCCTCTGCCCCAAAAGCCAGCTCCAGAGTCTTGCCAACCTTATGGAGGTCTCTTACACATAGCCTGTGGCTAAGAATGGGAGGGGGGGGTGGCCATGTGGAGCTGAATGAATGGGAGCTGACTGGAGAATGCTTAGTCAAGGCCAGACCTGGTTCCTACCGACCCTCCGATTTAGTCCTGTCTGGATATTTCCCCAAATGTCCTATGGAGCTTTAAATGGGTAAGCCTTGCCTCTCTTCAGTTCCTTCCTCTTCAAAGGCCCTCTTCTATATTCATAGGAGTGACTTGGCCGGATACAGAACATAGTGAAAAGGGGGAAGTGATCTAGGATTCCAGAGAGCCGTACTTATTCCAGAAATCTCACTAATGACCTATTGGGGCATTGGCTACCCCAGGCCCCTTCTAGATCCCTCACATTTTCCCCTCCCTCTTGCTTGCTTCCCCATCCATTGGAAGACGTGCTATTTGACTTTAATCAGTCTGGACCCCGCCATTACTGCAGCCACCTGTTTCTTCCCAGGTCCTAGCCCTCAGCTATTTGCATTGCCCCCTCAGCTCCCACCACTGCAGAGGGCCATGTGTGCTTTTGGCGCCACCTACTGGGAGATAAGGACAAGACCTCAACATTGTTAAAAAAAAGTCCAGATCAGTCATGGATCTGAGATATTATTCCATATTTATAGTGGAGTCTGTCATATGTCACACACCTGATAGGCTCTGAGGACATTGGTGACAACCACAGAGTTTGAATTCTTGGTGGAGAACCATGATGAATAGACAGAATGTAATAAATAATCTCAGAAAGTAAGGCCGGCAAGATGGCTAAGTGGGTAATGGTTTTTGTTACCAAGTCTGGCCTGAATTTGATCCTCAGGAGTCACATGGTGGAAGAAGGGATCTTATTGCCACACGTTGTCCTCTGACCTCTACATATGTGCGGATGGTGTGTGTTCCTCGAAGTACACATTAACAAGTAAACAAATAAGTCAATTAATTAAAAATAAAATGAGATATACAATTTTAGAGGGCCAGAGAGATGGCTTAGCAGTTAAGAGCACTTGCTTCTCTCTTTCAGAGGACACAAGTTTGGTTCCAGCACCCACAGGATTCACTGCCCTCTTCTGGACTCTTCAGGTACCTGCACACATGTGGCATTCACCCACATAGACACACACACACACACACACACACACACACACACACACACACACACATCTGAATTAAGAAAATAAATCTTTAGCTAGGTGTGGTGGCACAGACCTTTAATCCCAGCACTCAGGAGGCAGAAGCAAGCAGATTTGTGAATTTAAGGCTAGTTTGGTCTTTATAGCTATTTCAAGGCCAGTCTGGGCTGTATAATGAGACTTTATGTCAAGAAAAAAATCTTAAAACCAATAAGAAATAATTTCAGATTGTACTAAGCACATTAAAAAAAAAGGAGAGATGTGACCAAGGAAGATTAGGATAGAATGCTCAGAAACATTCATTGACAGTTAAATCAGGAAGGAGAATTAGTCAGATGTTTAAGGAGCTTGGAGTGAAGTAGTGTGGGGAGAAGAAATAGCTAGTTCAGGCCCTGAAGTACAAAATAGTTTGGTGTATTTGAAGGACAGAAAACCTAGTGCTTCAGAGCAGAAAGAACCAGACTGTGGAGAGCCTAAGCTTCAGCTGAGTGGTGTGTGTGTGTGTGTGTGTCTGTGTGTGTGTGTGTGTGTGTGTGTGTGTGTGTGTGTGTGTATCCAGAAACCCCAGGGTCTTGAAAGCCATGTGAGGATTTAAATTTAATTTTGAGAGCTGTCAAAATATCATTGAAAACACTTAAATAGGAAGGCGATTTACATTTGAAAATAAAGTCTGCTGGATCCCTGACCACTGCATTATAAAAGAGTAAACCTTGCTAGGAATGGTGGTTGTGCACACCCTTAGTCCTAGCACTCTGAGTTTGAGGCCAGCCTGCTCTATATAGTGAGCCCAAGGCAACCAGGGCTATGTAGAGAGACCCTGTCCAAAAGAAAGAAAGGAAGGAAGGAAGGAAGGAAGGAAGGAAGGAAGGAAGCAAGCAAGCAAGCAAGCAAGCAAGCAAGCAAGCATGGACTTTCTCCATGCTTTGGAAACCTGGGACTGAGTGGACACAGGTTTTCATGCATGTTACCAGGTAGAGGAAGGAAGTGTCGAAGTACAGGATGAGATCAGGATGAAGAAAAGCAAAGAGGCAGAACGGACAAACTGCCCGTGCTAAAGCTTGGAGGCCAGAGATGGGACACAGGAATGAGAGGAGTGTGATTAGAGCACCAGGACAGGCGCACACCTTTAATCCCAGCACTCGGGAGGCAGAGGCAGGTAGATCTCTGAGTTCGAGGCCAGCCTGATCTACAGAGCGAGTTCCAGGACAGCCAGAACTGTTACACAGAGAAACCCTATAGAAGAGGGAGGGTGTGGGCGCGCATGTGAGCCCCCCCCTCAACACACACACTCACGGACACACATGGCTTTCAGTCCTATTCCAAGAAGAGCACAGTGCTGTTAATTTTAAGCAGATGAGCCACATGGCAGGTGAAGGATGTAGAGGTGCTGTGTCGCCTTCTCTGAGGGTAAAGTGTAAGAAATACCAAACCCGAGAACTATAAAACTTGTGTTCAAGACAAGAAACTAAAATCTTTCCCTTTTCCTCACCTTGTAAGCTAACGTTTTACTCCCTCTCACTCCTTACTGCATTCCAGGAATTTGTTGGCCTAGAGCAATGACCCCTTTCTCAGCGGAGCAGAGATCCCTTTTCCTTCCTCCTTCATTTCCTGTTCCTTTCAGACTAGCCAATCGGATAAGACTGTGCGATGGATGACAGCCAATGAGGAAAAAAAAGATATGGTCACGCCCTAAGTTAGAATAAAAACCAAGTACTTACTCACGTCTCTCTGTGTGTGCTCTTGTGAGCACGCTCTCTTGAACACGAGTAAAGTGTGCCTTTTCCAGGCACTTCGACCCCAGACTTATTTCTAACAAAGACTCAAGGAAGCCAGAGTACAAGAATAGAAAGCAGGAACAGCCCCACACACACACATTTAAAAAAATTTTTTAAAATGATGATGCTGCTGATCATGGTTTGTGTGTGTGTGTGTGTGTGTGTGTGTGTGTGTGTGTGTGTGTGTGTGTGTGTGTG